AAAGTGGGGAGAGAGGTGTTGTAATAATATAAAATATGTGAAAAATAATGTGTTTTTGAACAACCTAGTATGAGAGCCTGTTCTAGTACACCCCCAAAACAAAATCAAGACTTTGTAAAAGAGCATAATAGGACCCCTTTAAGGAATGTCAAGTATTCCAAAGAGTTGCAGAGTAATCACTATATAATTATCAAAGTATGTGGTTTTTGGCAGACTGCTAATGCTTTCTTCCACTGCGTGTACCTGATTGAGTATCTGCTGATGATATGTGTGGATCCGCGGGGCTACTGGAGGAGTCCCCTCAATGTGCTGTCTGCCTTTGTGCTCCTGCTCTCCTCCGTCTGCATGAGTCTGAGCATGCCTCTGAAGCACCTGGTCTGCATTTGCGTCCTGCTGGTCTTCAGGCTCAGGAATTACACGGATGTCGAGCAGGTCGTCATATGACAAGCGTACAGGAGTTCTCCATCTGATTTTTTAATTTTAATTTTTGCAATCAGTGTTTGCGTTGGTGTCTTTCAGGAGTACACTGCAGGCATCTGGAGGGGACTGAAGAAAGCCAGCTTGATCTATTTCTTGATCTTTATGATCGTACTGGTTTTCGCAATGGCTGGTCAATCGTTTTTTGGAGACCCAAACAGAGGAGATCCAGAAAACTGGGGAGACCTCGGCACAGCCCTGTTCACGCTCTTCAGACTGCTCGTAGTAAGATGAGGAATTATTCTTACGTTTTCTGACATTTGTCAGGTACATGTAAGCATCTTAAACATCAGGCCATCCTGCCATTAGTAGTACTCAACAGATGTTCTCCAGATATCTTTGAGCTTTAGCAATAGATCTTTTGATAAGCGAAACGATTGCCAAGCATTTGGACAGGCTTGTAAAATAGATGCTTGACAGGAATCAAATGCTTGACCTCGAACTCTGTGTGTCAATAGTTGTATGATTGGACGAGGGTGCATCAGGACCTCGACAAAGCGGGTGTGAGCTACAGCAGCGTCTTCGTCATCGGCTTTATTATTACATGCTACTTCATACTCCTTGTTATAGCCAGGGCTGTTTTCATCACTGAATGCCGGGTAATAACCTGTTTTACACGACTAAAGTTGACTTATAAAAATGTGCTTGCTTGTTATTCTGTTTTGCAATGAAACCTGAATTTATTTAGGTGAATTTAGTAGAAACGGTGCAATTAGGGCTTTGCATATTAGCTCATGGGCGTGCTGGTCTGAAAACGAGGTGTGTTCAGGCGCATTGTTGGCGCGTTGCTATTTTGAGGCAACTGAAATAGACCAACTAAAACCTGGTCTAAAGTCAATGGCGCAGTATTTATTTTTTTTGTTATTTAAAGAGTGCGTTAGTAATATGCACATATAGGCAGGTCCACAACGCGCGTACACTCTGCTTATTACACACTCAGGGGCGCACAGCAGCACACAAACATGTCAAATATTACAAATTAAAGGTGTCATATGATGTTGCTAAAAAGAACATTATTTTGTGTATTTGGTGTAATGAAATGTGTTTATGCGGTTTAAAGTTAAAAAAACACATTATTTTCCACATACTGTACATTATTGTTTCTACTCTATGCCCAGCCTTTCTGAAACGCCTCGATTTTTACAAAGCTCATCGGTCTGAAAAAGCGAGGTATGCTCTGATTGGCCAGCTATCCAGTGCATTATGATTGGCCGAATACCTCAAGCGTGAGACAGAAATGTTACGCCCCTCACCATACTGTGCACATTATGCCCAAAACACACCCATTACTCATTAAGAGAATAGGCACAATCCTGTTAAACCATGCGCCGGGCACGCTGACTGTTTTTAAAAGTGGATTCGGACACGCCCTGAGTGCACCTGCGCCGTGCGCTTAGATCGTTAAAATAGGGCCCAAAATGAACAGAAATTGTCATGGATCTTTAATATATTATTTTATGCTATATAAGAGGATACACAACAATATTAATCGTACAATACTTTATACCCAGGTATAAAGAAAATTTGGACCCTAAAGCCGCTCCCTGTTTCTGGAGAAAAAAACCAATAGGAAATAGTTAAATATAACATAAAAAATGAAGTGATTTCAAAGACAAATTTAGAGGATGGTATGATTTTAGTTCTTTGTTCAAGAAACAATCCAGATATTAGAATATGATATAATATGGATACGACATTTATTATAATATAAAGAGAGGACAATCAGTGTAGTGAGAAAAACCTTCGCATCCCAGGCTTTGAAATAAACTTTATTCAACTGTTTAATAAAATCTCCTGTATGTTTAATGTATGATGGGCGCTGCTCTACCAAATGATTTCAACCATTATTTTGCTTTCAATTACAGTTCAATATCAGTTCTCTTTTATCTTTACTGATGTTCTACAGAGTGCATTTGGGAAGGCAGCGGAAAGGAAGAAACGTGCGCGTGAAGAGGAGGTAAAGAAGAAGGTGGAGGAGGTGCTGGAAAGGGCTAAACAGGTTAGTTTGAGGCATTGATCACGGACTCAGTGTCACTGAACTGCTTAAAGGAGCATGAAACACTGAACAGAGATGCTTGGGTTTCATATCATACAAGAAACTGTTCGACACGTTCATTTTCATTTCTGGATAAATAGGGTGAACTTCACTAAAGACAGTCTCTCACTGATCTTGACTCATCTGTACTTATTTCTACAGTGAAGACTATCCAGTGTTATTTTACATTTCATTAGTTAATTCAGTGTCTGTACCTGAATACTTTTGTTAGACCTTCCTAAAAAACTTAAAGCACTGTTTATTTCATTTGTATCTTTATTCTATTGTATTTACTTGTGCTATTCTTTATAATTTTTTGTTTTCATTTTATTACTAAGTTTACTTTCTTATTTTAGTTAAAATATCATATCAAAGTCATAATTTTGGCATCATGGCAACACTACGCACTGTCAGAATATTTCTCCTTGTAATAATTGTGAGGTTGTAATGTTTACAGATGGTATGTTAGGTAATATCAGTAAATTCTGCATCACCACTTTACTCTTTAATGTGCATTTAATGAGACATTATGTCAATTTACTCACTTATCTGTGAAATATAGTAGGTTATCATTGCTATATTCCATATCTGGTATAAATTGGTCATCTTATAGGCTTCTGATATTTTGATAAAATATTACCCAATGTGTCATGTATATGTACAATATTTTTCAATAACCATTTTCTTTTCTTTTTTAATTTTTACGGTAGCACCATGCCCCAAAACTCCGGAGTGTGAGGGAACTCAAAAGGCCCTTATGTCATGATCGATTTATTTATGCGCAGGACAAGATCACTAGTTCTTCTTTCATAGGGACATTTATGCAGCAGCTGAATAAACGAGAACAAACCATGTTAGAGTGAGTGACTGTGTGTGATTTCATATTCTGTTTTTGGACTGGAAACTCATTTTTTAAATTTAACTTCGTCTTTTGTCATAACTCTGTACGTAGGTGGTGGCGGCTGATAAATGAGAAGATGGCTGTACTGAAGGAGGAGCTCGAGGACAAGCTGAATGAGGATGCTCTTGCTGAGGGTAAGTGCGGTCCTACTACAGCTTGTGAGTCTTTACAAACAACAAATAATACATAATGTTTGTGCCAAATCCGTCCAACTGCGGCATTACATTTAGTTCTGTTGGTGTTCCATCAGTTTTTAGGTGAGTTTATAACCAATCACGCAGGTTTCTGTTGAGCTTACGAGTGTAAGGGCCAATCAGAGACGGTCAGAGGAGTCACGGCTGAAACTGAAACTCACAAATCCTCTCATCATAAACAACAAAGTGCAGATACGATGTAAGAAAGAGATTAATTTCACAGCGTAGACAGCTTCATGGATTATAATGAGAGTTTTTGCTGAAACTCGTGCTGGATGAAGTTATGGACAGGGAACGTTTTCTGCTCACTTCCTGTATGTGATTTATTTCAGTTTAAATAGCTGTTTTGTTTTCATGCTGTTAAAAGATTATTTTACTTCCAGAAAAAAATTCCTAAGAATTTATTCACTCCCATGTCATCCAAGATGTTCATGTTTTTCTTTCTTCAGTCGAAAACAAATTAAGGTTTTTGAGTTAAACATTCCAGGATTTTTCTCCATATAATGGACTTCAATGGGACCCAACGGGTTGAAGGTCCAAATGGCAGTTTCAGGCTCTACACGGTCCCAGCCGAGGAAGGAAAGTCTTATCTAGCAAAACGATCAGTCATTTTAGCAGCTGAATAAACGAGAACAAACCATGTTAGAGTGAGTGACTGTGTGTGATTTCATATTCTGTTTTTGGACTGGAAACTCATTTTTTTAATTTAACTTCGTCTTTTGTCATAACTCTGTACGTAGGTGGTGGCGGCTGATAAATGAGAAGATGGCTGTACTGAAGGAGGAGCTCGAGGACAAGCTGAATGAGGATGCTCTTGCTGAGGGTAAGTGCGGTCCTACTACAGCTTGTGAGTCTTTACAAACAACAAATAATACATAATGTTTGTGCCAAATCCGTCCAACTGCGGCATTACATTTAGTTCTGTTGGTGTTCCATCAGTTTTTAGGTGAGTTTATAACCAATCACGCAGGTTTCTGTTGAGCTTACGAGTGTAAGGGCCAATCAGAGACGGTCAGAGGAGTCACGGCTGAAACTGAAACTCACAAATCCTCTCATCATAAACAACAAAGTGCAGATACGATATAAGAAAGAGATTAATTTCACAGCGTAGACAGCTTCATGGATTATAACGAGAGTTTTTGCTGAAACTCGTGCTGGACGAAGTTATGGACAGGGAACGTTTTCTGCTCACTTCCTGTATGTGATTTATTTCAGTTTAAATAGCTGTTTTGTTTTCATGCTGTTAAAAGATTATTTTACTTCCAGAAAAAAATTCCTAAGAATTTATTCACTCCCATGTCATCCAAGATGTTCATGTTTTTCTTTCTTCAGTCGAAAACAAATTAAGGTTTTTGAGTTAAACATTCCAGGATTTTTCTCCATATAATGGACTTCAATGGGACCCAACGGGTTGAAGGTCCAAATGGCAGTTTCAGGCTCTACACGGTCCCAGCCGAGGAAAAAAAATACAAAATTATATACTTTTTAACCACAAATGCTCATCTTGCACTAGCTCTGCGATGCGCATGATGACTTTACACATTACGTAATCATGTGTGAAAGGTCAGTTCTTCGTCTGTGTGCTTTGGTTCAGAAAGGTAGGGTAGTTTGAAAACCTCCATCTCATGTTCTCCTCCAACTTCAAAATCTTCCAACATCGTTGTTTTACCTTTTTTGTAAAGGGTGCTTTCTTTGCACGTTCGATTTGTAAACACTGGGTCGTTACTTCTGCCTACGTCATGCATGACCTTTCCAACGTGACTATGTAATGCGTGAGGTCAAATGCTAGTGTGGTTAAAAAGTATATATATCTATTTTTTTTAATGTATAGAAAATTATTTTAAAAAATCAAAAAGTATAAAAAAAAAAAACATACATAATTTTTTTTTAAATATATAAAAACATACAAATATAAAATGACCGATTGTTTTGCTATATAAGACCCTTATTTCTCGGCTGGGATTCTGTAAATATAACCTTTGAAGCTGCATTGAAACTGCAATTGGGAGCTTCAACCCATTGATCCCATTCAAGTTAAGTCAAGCTGAGCTTTATTGTCTTTCCGCTACATGTGGGGGCATACAGTGGAACGAAATGTCATGCCTCAGAGGACCACGGTGCTACATAAATACAGACATACAACAACGAAGTAAAACAGTATAAACCTATACACAACTAACCTACTGACAGATTCTGACTATTAATATACTATATATAAATGGTTACCTATTAGGGGTGTGACGAGACACTTATCCCACGAGACGAGACACGAGACTGGGTTCACGAGAACGAGACGAGGCGAGATTTTTAGACTTTTTAAAAGAAACCCTCAATGATGAAATACAGGTGCATCTCAATAAATTAGAATGTCGTGGAAAAGTTCATTTATTTCAGTAATTCAACTCAAATTGTGAAACTCGTGTATTAAATAAATTCAATGCACACAGACTGAAGTAGTTTAAGTCTTTGGTTCTTTTAATTGTGATGATTTTGGCTCACATTTAACAAAAACCCACCAACTCACTATCTCAACAAATTAGAATACTCCATAAGACCAATAAAAAAAAACATTTTTAATGAATTGTTGGCCTTCTGGAAAGTATGTTAATTTACTGTACATGTACTCAATACTTGGTAGGAGCTCCTTTTGCTTTAATTACTGCCCCAATTCGGCGTGGCATGGAGGTGATCAGTTTGTGGCACTACTGAGGTGGTATGGAAGCCCAGGTTTCTTTGACAGTGTTGTGTGATTATTCCTTAAAAAATAATGTTTGTTTAATTTTAGTAGTAGTAGTAGGCTATGTACATTCTACTGAAAAATAGTTATAGGCACAATGTCTTCAAATCAAACCGGACTTTTATTTTGACGGGTTGCCGTGAATACCTTTACAGTTCTGTGTATGAGATATGACACAAGTTTTACTCAAATCAAACGCTAAGATGCTGATGAAGTGACTCTCAGTGCAGTTCTGGAGATGTTGTTCATGTGTTTACGTCCTCATTTAGTGAGACGGCAGACGCTGAAATCACCGCGAGCGTCACGCGCGCTTCAGT